CCTTTTAAATGATCTTTCATTGTCGACTTCTACCTTATGTGCAGAGAACATTATCTACGTGACAAAGATTTTTGATTATTGGTGAGATTTCCCTTTGTGTCCTGGTCTGTGTTTGATTTGTAAAGTAAAGCTATCTTTTGTGTGTAAAGAGCATTTGTTGTTTCATACTTGGTACATGACTTTATGAAGTCAAGTTTGGTAATTTTGATGTTCAACACTATAACCTTCCTATTTTTTTCAAATTCACTTGACCTGCTAGACTAAACTGGCTTCAAATTGATTGCCCTGTGGGTCTGTTGATTAGTTTGTTTCTGTTGGTCTTTCTTTCTTTTTCCTTTATTTCTTATAGACCAAATTGTGGGGTGCATATATCTCTTTCTCTCCCTCAAGGTCGATTGTTTTTATTATGATGTTGGTTCCTTTTTTACCCATATCAATATTTCTCATTTAAATTTTATCTTTTGTTGTTATCATTGCTCCAGCTTTCGTTTGGTTGGAATTTGTCTGCTATGTCTTTTTCCATATTTTTAACTTCTGTTTTCTGTGAGGTTTTATTCAAGGGCTTTTTCTTGTCCGCAACATATAGCTAGATTAAGGAGACATACATTTAATCCTGTATCCTTGTTAAACAAGTTTAACCGTTTGTATTTGTTAGGATTAGTTACGCACTTTTACTTCTTTCTGCCATCTTCTTTTGTTTTTGCTGTTACATCTTCTTCCCTGCTGTCCTCTCCTGTAATCTGATAGGTCAGGGGTCAGCAATTTTTTTTAAGTAAAGGTCAGATGGTAAACATTTTTTTTTTTTTTTTTTGCTTTGTGGGCCAAGGAGCAAAAGCAAGGATATTTTGTGATACTGATATGACGCCAGAGAAAATAAGTGTCCACAAAAGTCTCATCAGCACTGATCCTGTTTGCGTGCAGAGCCCCCGAGTCGAGGACAGAAGCTAAGCTCAGAGAAGCTGTTTTCTCTGCGTGCTTTCTGGGCCGCGTTTCTTTGGCTGCTGCCATCAGATGTGATGGAATTAACTCACGGGGTGAGTGGCTTCTTTGCTTGGTTAACAAATGAGATGCTGGAAACTTGCTTTGGTCACAGCCCTCTTTGCATTTCCTTTTTTCGGGGGAAGAAACCCCGCTGTGGTGAGACAGCTCATGTGTAATTTTCTAATCGTCCTCACCGCGGCGTCCCTGAGGGAGCAAAGTTGTGATGGTGCTTAGTCTGGGAGTGCTGAGCCCTGGTGCTCTTCTAGAACTCAGATGATCCCATCATATACTGAGCACAAGCCTTCGCCACCCAGTTCCCTAACGAAATAACCCACACTCTACCGTGACTTAAAACGGCAATGCTTGGCATGGCAGGTGCCCGTAGGTGAGATCTCAGCCTGCCCCGCAGCACACGTGGCCCTGGAAGCACTGCTGTAGCTGTGCACCTGCACCTGCAGTGCCTGTGGCCACAGAGGGCTGTTTTGGTCTCTGATGTGTCTACCCAACTCTGTTGACGTGGCGCTAAAGCAACCAGGAACGGCAGGCAGTACTGCAATGGGCACGCAGAATTACGTGGGCATTGACATTTTAATTTCATTTAATTTTCACATTTCATGAAATGTTCTTCTTTTGAGTTTTAATCATTAAACGATGTAAAACCCACTGTGAGCTCATAGGTCATAGATCAAACAATTTGGAATTTTCCTTTGCTATATTTTGCTTCCCTCTCTTCTGTCTGGAAGCTATAAATTATATTCATTAAGTGGTGTGTTTTAAGTTTAAAAATCATTCATGCTAAATAATATGAGCATCTTTGAAAATTTTACAGAAAATAGAATTAAAAAATCAGGTTGTTTTGGTGCAAAGAATTTAAATCCATACATAGAGTTAGACAGTGAGAGAGAGAGAGAGAGAGAGAGAGAGAGAAAGGTCTTCCTTCCATTGGTTCACCCCCCAAGCGGCCACTACTGCCGGCGTGTTGCAGCCAGCGCCGATCCGAAGCCAGGAACCAGGTGCTCCTCCTGGTCTCCCATGTGGGTGCAGGGCCCAAGCACTTGGGCCATCCTCCACTGTACTCCCTGTCCACAGCAGAGAGCTGGCCTGGAAGAGGAGCAACCGGGACAGAATCCAGCGCCCTAACTTGGACAAGAACCCGGGGTGCCGGCGACACAGGTGGAGGATTAGCCTGGTGAGCCGCAGCACCAGCCAATACAGTTTTCAAAAGGTGCATTCTCCATGAACTTGTGTGTATACATTACAAGATTTTGCACCAAAGTGCTTACCTTTTATCCCATTTTCCCATGAACTTTTTGTCATCCCTTTGTATTTTTTACAATTCTCGCAAAGCTAAGCTAATACCTACGCTAATGGCCGGCTGTTAGTAGACAGCATGTGTGTGGGCCGCTGCTCTCAGCAGGTGCTCCAGCAAGGGTCGTCTTCATCGTAACTACTCGGGCCGACCCCAAGCTGGAGCTCAGATGGCTTCATTTCACATTCAGCTCCAAGTCCCAGCTCTCCGCGTTTGCTCATGGCGGGTGTGTGTGTGTGTGTGTGTGCGCTCAGTCTGCTGTGTAAAAGCATTGAGGAAACACTTGACACGATCACCTCCACACGGAACGTCTGCACTTCTCAAAGGCCACAGCACGGGGGTGGGGGGTGGGGCGTGGGACGTGAGGTCTCAGCGCCGACCCGCCAGTCTGCACCCGCTCCTGCTCCGGGTCTGTCTGACCCGGATGCCCCATTAGGCTGTCAGGGGAGCTTTGAGCTTTGAATGAGCCCCTGTGAAACCCGAGCTGAGAGGGGGGTCCCCTCCAGGCAGGCTAGAGTGTGGGGACAGTCCTCCCACCAGCTTCCTGGCATGGAATGGCCTTTTCCTGGTGCCAATCTCACAGTAACGTTGCTCCTGAAACAGATGCGCAGATGTGAGAGGACTTCGAAAGCTCATGGAACATGGAATTAAGTAAGTTTTATCCTTGCAATTGTGTTTCAATGCACTCTTCCTTCCCTTGTGAGACACATTCCTATGAGCCTTGAGTCGGTCCCGCCATTCATGGATTTCAGAATACATTTTGCCCCCTAAAAACCGATTTTTAAATAGCATTTTCCATGAACTTTTTGAAGACCCTTTGTAAGGTTATGTGTATTAACAGAAAAAAATGAAGAATAACAAATGAAAAATAAAAAAGACTCAGGGCAACACAGCTCCCAAGAATCACAAATGATTCTTCAGACAGTTTCCTCCTTCCTTCTCTTGCAACGTCTTACATGTTACATTATTTAAACACCAGATCAAGTTGCTTTTAACTTCCTCCAATTAAAAGAGAAAGAGATGATCTGCTCTTTCTGAGCAAAAGTAAAAAGACAAATCATAGCAGGCCGAGTAAATGGAGCAGTGGGACCCTCCCCCACACTCAGGTGACACAGAGCATGGAGAGTGAACTCCACACTTGCCCAGAATCCTGAAACCGAACCCTTTCATTAAAGCGTTCATTGTCCGCACCCAGAAGACCTGCGCAGCCCCACCTGCCCCCGGGCTGCTGAGGGAAGCACTCTCAGCCCAGGAGAGGAGGCTGCCACGCAGCTGGCTGGGGTCAGGTGTGGAAGCTAATGTGCGCCTCGGGCAGCTCGGAACTGCTGGGGCGTGCAGCAGCGAGGGCCTGCGTGCGGGTGATGGATGGCCAAGGCAGGCGAGAGGCGTGGCGACAGGCAGGCTCCTCCAAACGTGCACAAGGCGGGAAGAATGACCCGCTGGCCACAGGTCCTCTCCCCCTCCCCCTCCCCCTCCCCAGGAAGGCGCACAGAAGCACCAGGCCATTCCTGCCTGCCTTGAAGCCAAGCCCCGTCCTGGTCCTGGCTGAGGGGATCTGGATACGGGCAGTGCAGGGGTGCAGGGGTGCAGGGGAGTGCGGCCTGGAAAACACCTGGCAGCCCTGCAGAGTGCAGAGTCACCCTCACATAGTCTACACCGGGGCGCTCATCACGCTCATCACGCTGAGACCACTAAGGTGTGGGCTTAGCTTCTCCAAGATACGGTTTGCATGTTGCGACAGCGCATATGTTGGCAGAAAAACTTAACTTGGACCAACTAACCCTTATTGGCCTCTTTGTCAACTACACGTCTGAATGTTTCCGGCTTCACGCCCCCGAGTGGCTCCCATCCCTTTGCTCAATGACAGGGGATCCCAGGGCTGTGCCCCAGTCACTGTCACCTCCAGGGTCCAGCAGAAGGCCCGGCCCTGGGTGAGGAGGGCCTGGACCCAACACAGGACACAGGGGGCTGGTGTGGCGAAGACACACACAGAGTGTGCAGGACTCTGCCCGCCGTGGTCTGCCAGCGCTCGGCCCGGCCCTGGGTTTGATACGGTGGCACAGGGCAAACTCCTTTCCGCTTACGGTACAGGAGAGGGCGCAGGAAGGGCCCTGGCCTTCCGGGAGCTGTGACGTCATGTGGCAGGTCCAAGGGCGCAGGAACACATCAGATGGGAACTTAACTGGAACTTGGACGGCCAGCAAAGAGGTCTCTGTTATCTGAGGTGGGAGTCAAGGAAGTCAGGGACAGAGACGCAGCGTATCCTGCTGTCACAGCTCAGCATAGCTGTGGACTTCGGGAAACAGGCCACTTTATGGGTGTGAGCCTCACTTTCCCATCAGTAAAATGGGACACCCACACTCGGCTCTTGGGTGTTCTGAAGGCCGACGAAGAAATAGTCTGTGTTAGCATCTAACAGAGTCCTTGAGACCTTGATATTTTATCTGATGCCTGAGTGGGGGACTCGACTCCTGGGGGTAGAGAAGACCCCAACGCTCCATAGGTTTAGTTTGCTCTCAGTCCTCAAAGGGATGCAGCTCTGGGGTGTGTGTGTGTGTGTGTGTGTGTGCGCGCGCGCGTGAAGATCCAACTTCATACTCTCTTCTACTTGCCCTCTATCTACGAGCTGACGGAAACTGAGGGTATTTCCATCTCTGTTCAATTGTGAATGACAGCTGACCAAAGAACGCAGACCCTAGAGGGTGACAGGTAGACTCCATGTGTAGCAGATTTATTTATTGATTCCCAAGAAACCTTTTATTTAAAGTGTACAAACTTCATGCATTTCATAAATACAACTTTAGGAACATAGTGATTCTTCCAACCCTACCTGCCCTCCCACCTGCTCTCCCACATTTTAAAGAGTTCTCAGGGCCAGTGCTGTGGTGTAGCAGGTAAAGCCGCTGCCTGCATGCTGGCATCCATATGGGCACTGGTTCGAGTCCTGGCTGCTCCACTTCCAATCCAGCTCTTTGCTATGGCCTGGGAAAGCAGTAGAAGATGGCCCAAGTCCTTGGGTCCCTGCACCCACATTGGAGACCTGGAAGAAGCTCCTGGCTCCTGGTGCAGCTCTGGCTATTATGGCCAACTGGGGAGTGAACCAGTGGATGGAAGACCTCTCTCTCTCTCTCTCTCTCTCTGTCTCTCTCTTTTTCTCTCTCTGCCTCTTTTTTCGTTGTGTAACTCTGACGTTCAAATAAATAAATAAATCTTTAAAAAAAGAAGAGTTCTCACCAATGCAAGCACAGATTGGAGAAAGGCACAAAGGAAGCCCTAGGGGAGGCCAGCCCTGCTCACATTTGCTGCATCTCCTGTCCCACCAGGTGACAGATCTAAACAGGGGAGCTTAGGTTGGGGCTCCGCAGAAGCCAGTAGGTTGGACCTGCTCCAGCCCAGGCAGCGCCTCTCTCCCTGCTCAGACCACAGTGGAGGCGCAAACCTGAGGACCGAACACTTCCTGAGCTGGCGGAGTGAGGTGCATTCAAAGGACACGATCTGGTACTTGCATGTTGACAAATAACTTGGCCGTGAGGTCATCAGTCAGGGGCCAGACAGGCATGGGCCGGCCTGCAGGAGCTGGTGCATTTATCTTGACCGCCAGAAGGAGGTTCTGTGACGGGAGCCATGGGCCCAGGTTGGTCACGGCAAGACTGAACATAAAGCCACGTACACATTCGGCACTGAAAGACTATTTATTAAATGAACCACATTGTCTTGGGGTGTAAGTGACTCAACCTCTATTGCATGCGATGATGCCTCCACATGTTCCTGTCCACTGAAGTCAAATCTGAAGCACATATGTGATAGTCTCACTGTAATTGCTTGAAAATACGATGCCTTAGGTATCAAGGGCATGGCTGTAATCTACACCTTCTCCCTGAGACTCATTGCAAGACAGGGCTCCGTGGCGTGTGTGTCCATGTATGGGGTGTTCATTTGAGTGTGTGTGTGTATGTATGTGTGTGCATTTCTAAATACGGGCCATACAAAGTTTGCACGTATATCAGGAGCTCTTTGAGCTCCCATCAGATAAGCTCATTTGCCTCAGCTTTTCTACCTGCAAAACGGGGATGTTTCAGATTCCTGCATTACTGGCGTGGTAGTTATAATAATTCACAAAGTTATTTTTCTGGGTGAAAAATGCCATTTGATTAAAGAGAATATGTTTTAGGAAATTAAAGATTAAAAGTTGATTCATATGCCTGAGCAGCCTTACCAAAGAGCAAACACGCTGAAGGCTTAATCAACATGTGAAACACAGAGTGAATCCGGTGATCACTTCTCAAGGCCTTTCCAACCCTTTCACAAATGCTGTAACGAATCCCCAGTTTTCAGCTTGGGAATCCCTCACCCAGCGGCTGGCAGGGTTCTGGGGAGAACAGAGTATTTCATTGTTACGCTTTTTCAGTCACCTGCAAATTACCCATGTTCCTTGGCAGTGGAAGTCATTCCGAATAAACGGAGAGGCGCCCATTTTTAACTGCCCTTCCCCTCCGAATCTGAAACGTGTTTGACACTCTCCGGGGCCACCGTGCTCTCCAGTCACAGTGAGAATCAGGCACTCGCCTGGCGAGCCAGCACAGGCCGATACCACACACAGGACGCCTTCCACGGAACTTTCTGCAGCCAGCGAGATCTCCAAGGCACCAAAGGGCCAGAGCTGTGACCCAGCTGGAAGCTGAGGGCCGCAGTGGGATGTCCGCCCTGGCCTCTTTGCTGCAGTGGCCGGGCCTGAGCAGGAGTCGGTCCTGCATGGCCCACAAGCAGCCTGGCGGGGCTGTGGTCAGGTTCCCCGAGCGCCGGCCCACAGACAGTATTGGGAAATGATTCTTTGGGCTAACGAGAGTGAGGCTCACTGTGCCCGGGGCCCAGGAGCTGCATTTTGGCCCCGGGATGTCCGTTGACCTCTGACCGATCCAGACACGTGGACCGTTGTGGAGGAGGGGAGGATTCGGTTCCAGCTGTCACTGCACCTGTCGCTGCACCTGTCACTGCACCTGTCACTGCACAGACCCAGCCCTGCCTGAGTTATTCTGAGCCATGTTTTTCTCAGGAAGGTTGTCTGTTTGATCAGCACAGTAATAACCAATGCTTTAAAGTTGTGAATGAATGGACAGCTCTCAAACAGCGAAAAGCGATTGCTAGGCAAGCAACCCCAAAGCTGAAAAACATCATTACAAATATTTTCCTGAGTTTTAACAACAACCTGCAACACGGAAGAAGGCAGCTTCTCACCAACTTCTCTCGGTCGTGGAGCTACGACACGTCACGTGTGTCACGTGTGTTTCTCAGCCAACTTTCTGGCGACGTCACTGACAGGTCGCACGTTGTATTTTCCCACTGCTGTCAAATTTTTTAAAGGCCTCTGTTCAAGTTCCCTGCAAATGCAGAGTCTACACTGCAGGTGCTGGCGGGATTGCTGGTACGGAACAGCCTGTGCACGCAAGCCACCTGCACTCATGCCTATTTGTCCGCATTTTACTCCGTTAAAATAGGCTCAAGAAAGCTGTGAATTTGCTTTTCCTGCTGGCTCTCTTTAATTGCATTTCAGACTGGGGAGGTGATTCCTGGAGAGAGATTGTAGAGGGGTTGTGTGCTCGCTCAGCAACGGGGTGACCCCACAAACCGGCACCCTGCTCGCCCCGCGTGGCCGGCAGCAGAAGAGTTAGGAGCCACAGGCACCAGCGTGTGAACGACGCGAGCCACGTTCACCCCGGCCTCGGTGTGTTCTAGTCACACTTGTGTGCGCGTCTGTCTTTCACCCTCCCTGGCTCCCCCGCCTCCCTCCCCCATGATCTCTGTCTCTCACACACCCCTCATCCTGGGACACTCAGGAGCGCTGGGCTCATGCCCAGAAGCAGCAAGGCCGTGGGCCCAGTGGGCAGACTGAGAGGTCACCAGGGAAGACCTTGCCCGGTGGAGGGCTGGGACACTGGTGTGTGCGACACCAAGTTCCCGGTGTCCTGGCTCCTCCCTGGAGGGTGCCTGGCCACTCTGCAGTGTGGGAGATGGTGGCGCACACTGAATTCCCTCATGTCAGGGGAGTCCCAGATGCCACACAGACACTCGGCCCCAGGGCCTTGGGGAGCAGAGAGGCCAAAATCCCTGTTCCTTGCAGTGCCAGCCCCTTCCCAGTAAATGCAAACGTCTGTGGGACCAGGGGTAAACTCACACAGGAGGCGCTGGCGCAGAGTGGGGGAGGGGAGAGACGCCAAAACAGGTGCGGCCACCGCCTGGCTCAGGTGTGTCTGCCTGTGAGGCACAAACCCGAGCCTTCTCAGACTCCCAGGTGCCAGGCTCAGCCCTTGTGGGCGGGGCCGCTGGGGCCCGCAGGGACAGGGTCTGGAACTGACAGGGAAGGGGGCTGGTATTCCCAGGGATAGCTCCTGCTGATGCAGCCCTTCCGCCCCCATCAGGTAGTGCCGGCCCTCTGTCCCCGACCCAGTCCCAGCCGTCCCAGGCTGCTCTCACAGCACAGTCTTGGAGAGAGGGGATCGGAGCCGCGCAGCCCGGCCGCCTCTCTGGGGCACCGGGCGGCCCGCCAGGGCGCTCCTGCAGCCATCATCCCTGGCGAGCGCGAGGCACTGCGGATGGACCGGGCGCCCCGGCAACGTGGGGGCTGGGCGGCAGCGTCGCCCTCCGAGCTGGATCGCTGAAGAGCTCTGGCGGGCTGGGCGCACTTTGCAGCCGGCGCAGACGACCGCTCGCTGGGCCACGGGCGCTCGCCTTGTGGACCACCGGCCAGAGTCGCCACTCAGCTCTGCTCCCCGGGGGTCCCGGAGCTCCGCGCTCCGCCACGCCGGCTGTCACCTCCGGACACTGCACGTGGGCAAACCCCAGCCTCCCTTCAAACGAGGGTCCCTTCCCGGCTGCAGACGAGGTGGCCCACGCGGAAGCCGGTGGCCGTCGTCTGGTGGCCAGGAGAGAAGCCCCGCTAGGGACCCGGCACCTGGGGCCTGTGGGCGGCGACTGCCGTCGGTCTCTCCAAGGAGAAGTCCCCAGCCAGGCCGCTGAGAAAGGTGCCAAGGCCTCCGGCCAGCGCGCCCATGGCCGAAGCGAAGCTAGAGAAGCAGGCGGCGGCGGCTTCGGGCGCGGGCGGAGAGGGCGAGGCCGCCTGGTCCGGGGAGGCGGCGTCGGGAGGCTCCAGCGCGGACGCCTAGGCTCCTCCGCCGTGGCTCCCGGTCCCCAGGGGCGCGGCCGCGCTCGCCTCCCCCCTCTTCCTCCTCCTCCGGAAGTTCCCGTTATCAAACATCTTCTCGCAGTTGGGGTCCAGGGTCCAGTAATTGCCTTTGCCTGTAGAGAAAGGAAAGGCCGGGTCCAGGAAGGCCGCATCTGGTGGACCACGCTGTGCGGGAGAAAGTCGAGTCCCCGCAGCCCGGTACCCTCAGAGCGTCATGCGCGCCCCTCCGCCGGTCAGCCTTGAAGCGGCATTTTTTACCCGGGCTGGCCTGCACGTCCAGGCTGGGAAGGATTTGCACGTTCCAGAAAGAATGAGGATGGCACCCTCTGGAATTCTCAGTCTCCCCCTCACTGCCCCCCAGGTTCAGGCCCGCAGGGTGCAGAAGCGAGCCACGCTTCTGCCGTGGGCGGAGCAGACCTCATCTGGACTCCCTGTGCGCTCCAGAGTTTCCCCGGGGGCGTCCACCTGTCTCACCAACCTGCACAGGAGGCGTTGTCTTCCTCGCGGTCTACAGGGAAGGCCACGGAGGCCCAGGGTCTCCCAAGGTCATTCCGCTGCCCAGCTCCCCAGCCTGTCCTGCCAGGGAGCGCGCAGACGTCCAGCGAAGTCGGAGCTGGCTGCTGCCATGTCGGTGAGCCTCCCCCTCCTCCCCGCCGCGAGCGCTCACACCTGAGCCGGTAGGGACCACGCTGTCTCAGGCCGCCCCCACCCTGAGCACCGGCCGTCCTGGACGGGGCGGGCGCGCGCGCGGCAGTACCTGGGTCGTTCCGGCCGCGCGGCACTTTCTTGAAGCAGTCGTTGAGCGACAGGTTGTGGCGGATGGAGTTCTGCCAGCCCGCCTTGCTGCGCTTGTAGAAGGGGAAGTGACCCGCCACGTACTGGTAGATCTGGCTGAGCGTCAGCTTGCGCAGCGGCGCGCTCTGGATGGCCATGGCGATGAGCGCCGAGTAGGAGTAGGGCGGCCGCACCAGCCTCAGCAGCTCCTGCTGGCCCGAGAGGCCCAGCCACGCGAGGTCCGCGCCCGCCAGGCCTCCCGGGGGGCCCAGCAGCGGGGGCCCCGCCGCACAGGGCGGCGCTGGGCAGGGCCCCGCCGCGTAGCCAGCGGGCCTGAGCTCAGGGCTCCCCCACAGTCTCTGGCAGTTGCCGGCTGCGCCCAGATCCCCGCTCGCGTAGCCTTGGGGATGCGCGGCGGCCGGAACCTGGCGGTGCGGGGCCGAGCAGGTGCCCAGGCCGTCACGGTACGCAGCCATGTCCGGCGTCTCCCACGCTGGGGCCGGCGGCTCCGCACCGAAGTTCATGGGCACCCCATGGCCCAGCTGCCAGCAGCGCCAGATTGCAGACAGCCAGGTCCCGCCCTCCTCCCTTTAAATGCCGTCGTGGCTGGAGCCCAGGGTGCGCTTCGCGGCCGAGCCCCCTCCCCCACCAGCCCTGGGGGAGCCACCTCCCCAGACCCCGCCCTGGGGTCAGCTTTCCGCCCTCCCCGGGTCCTGCTGCGCCCCCGACGCGCCGCCGCTGAAATTCTCACTGCCCAGGTGGCCCTCCAGTGGTGCTCGCTCTGGGCCTTAGCTACAGGGGCGCTGGGCCCCCAAGAGTCACAGATCCCCGCTTCCTGGAACCCCGCAGCCCCCGCTGTCCTGGACTCTCCCGAAGACCCCAGGTTGTGACTTGGGAGCCGGGTCATTCACTGCATGTCCGCCTCTCACAGCCCCCTGCTCAGCATCACAGCCCCCGGGGGGGTCGCAATGAAGTGCGCAGGACTGGTCCGGGATCCCCCCCACCCCGCCCCCCGCGCGCCGGTGCCTCAGAAGGTGGGGCGAGGCGCGGGACAGCAGGGCCTGTCCGCGAGCACGGAGCACAGCCGCCTGGCTCTTCTGCGTTGCTGCAGCCTCCAGAGGCAGGGGCGCCGCGCAGGGCGGGGGTCTGGGACTCTCAGGCCACCAGCGCACGGAGGCAGGGATTGTCTCCCTGCGATCATGGTTCAGAGATCAGAAGGGCCCAGGCCCGCCAGCGTCGGTGCCGCGGTGTCAGCGTCAGCTTGGTCGGCGTTATTTTAGTTTATTGCTTGGGTCTGTGGATCATCAAAGCGAAATGATTTCAATTCATTTAAAAAATAAAAGATTCCCCCTCAACCCGTGGGTGGAGGCAAGCGTGGGGGTTGAGGAAGGAGCTGGGGTTCGGTCAGCCGCCCCCTCAGGCTTAGATCTCCCAAACCGCAGTAAGAAGGCTTGGGGAGCAGCCCCTGCATGGAAGGAGGGGAAGGGAGCCTCCACTGCGATGTTGCCCCCCGACTTAGCAGGAGCGGCCCCTTAGGAACCGCTGGATAAAGTGAAGCCAGATCCCAGACCTTTGCCAGAAAGACACGCCCCCCTCCGCCTCTTCTCCTCCCTCACTGCTGTCAGGACCGCTGGTGGTGGGGTTCCCAGGTACCTTTCAGATGCCCCCTGCCCTTCCCTCCTCCGGGCAGGGGTGGGAGTGGGGCAGGGGGACATCTCCCTAACTCCCCACTGCCACCCTGTGCCACCTGCTGGGTTTCCGACGTGTCCAGTGTGGTCCAGTGTGGTTTCCAATGTTGCAGACAGCCCCTGCTCTCTGTAGTGTGACAAGTTTCAGCAGCTCCCTCTTGAACAAAGTGTCTTTACATCAGTGTGACTTGGGCGCGTGTATTAGGATGCAGACTGGGGGTCAGTGCGCATCAACCCTCCCTCCTACCTTAGGGTTGGCCTAGGGTCTGAGACCGTTCCTGCCCTCCTGGAGATCTGAATGGCTACAGGCTAGGGAGCAGTTTTGCAGACACTGTGCTTCATGGGGGAGGGGCTGTCATAGAAGCTGCAAGGTTCTGCCCTGTCCTGGCTGCTCCCAGACGGGGCAAAGCAGAGCTGCAGCAGGTGGGTGGTGTGACAGCGTCCCCGGGGTGCCTGGCAGGACACCCGCTGCTGCTCCTGGGGGATCCGGATTCCCCGAGGCTTTGGATGTAGAAGACTCTCGTGTTGATGGACTAACACAGTGCTCTGGGAGGAAGCATTCATTTTACCCACAGGGAGCTGCACTGCTCTGAGAAGGAAGTCAGACACTGGGTTTCAGTAACTGTTTGGGTCGTCTCTTGCAATGTAAAGGAATAGAAAGGCGAGAGTGCGTCCCAAATTCGCCTTGACTGCCTTCCCTTCTGAAGTTATAGTAGCTGTTTAACACTGCAGGTTCCAGGACCTCCAAGAAAATGAACCTTCATGTAAGTCCTCTCAGGTTTTTATTTTTTAAGATTTTATTCATTTGTTTGAGAGGTAGAGTTACAGATAGAAAGAGGGAGAGACAGAGAGGTCTTCCATCCACTAGTTCACTCCCCAACTGGCTGCAACGGCCAGAGCTACGCCGATCTGAAGCCAGGAGCCAGGAGCTTCTTCCAGGTCTACCACGCGGGCACAGGGGTCCAAGCACTTGGGCCATCTTCTACTGCCTTCCCAGGCTGTAGCAGAGAGCAGGATCAGAAGAGGAGCAGCCGGGACTAGAACTGGTGCCCATATGGGATTCCGGCACTTCAGGCCAGGGTGTTAACCCGCTGCGCCACAGCGCTGGCCCCTGAAAGAAGTCTTGTATCCACTAGTTTGCTCCTCAAATTCCTACAACATCCACTGCTGGGCTAGACTGAAGCCACAGCCTAGAACTCCATCCAGGTCTCCCACATGGGTGGCAGGGGCCCAAGCACTTGAGCCATCCATCATCCCCTGCCTCCCAGGGTACGTTAACAGGCAGCTGCATCAGAAGCATTGTTGCCAGGACTCAAACTCCGGCACCCAGATATGGGATGTAACCAGGACTCCAGTTCGGGATGGGGGCCCAAGTGGCAGCTGAGCCCGCTGTGCCACAGTGCCTGCCGACAGGGAAGAAAAACCAGGAGGAAGCCTGTGATGGACTTGGGGTTCCTGGCAGCCTTCTGTAAATAGAGCAGCCCCCACAGCTCTGCAGGCCCCACCCACACCCTCTTTATTCGCACAATAAAGACCAGGTCTGCCCAGCCCTCCACCACCATAGGCCAAAGCCCAAGGGCAGCTGCCCCATCCCTGTGCCCTGAGCTCCCTTCAGGCGGGGCTGAGCCAGGGCTGGGTCTCGCTCTTCCCCTCCCTGACTCCTGCCCTCGGCCTGCACAGATCTCAGCTCCTCTTCCCTAGGAGGTCTCCCCAGCCCACATCCCCCTGCAGATGCCTCCCCGCCCGTCCCTCTGCTGCATATCAGCAGCTGGACTTCTGGCGGCTGCGGCCCTGTCCTGCCCACTCAGGAGCACTCCTCACCCCTCCCAGGCAGCCGTGCACCCCTTCAATTGGAGGAGACTTCTCGGGGACAGTGCTCAGTGGCCTCTGTCACCCCAAATCCAGTGATCACTTGCCCTCACCCTGCTCGACTCCCAGCAACTCCAACACATTGTGGAACCAATACCATCTTCCCCACCAGCTTTTCCTCTCTGGCCTTCTGGTCGACCTCTTTCTGCGGCTGATTCTCAGGCTCCGGATGGCCTGTCCTCCTCCGTGGCTGGAGCTCCATCCTGAGCCCTCTCCTCTTCCGTTCCTGGGTCTTTGACTTTTAGACAGGAGTTCAGAACTTCTCCGCCTGGGTCCTGATGACATTCTGGACTGGGTAACTCATGTTCCTGTGTGCTGTAGGATTTGCAGCAGGGTCTCCACACACTCAGTGTGTGTAAGCCCTCCCCCCCAAACTGTAACTATCAAAAATGCCTTCAGACAGTGCCAGCTGTGCCCTGTCATCCCTGAGGGAGATTCCTGCTTCAACAAATGATTCTCCATTTGGAGTCATCTTTTTGGAGCTTTCCTCTCAAAGCCAACATGTCCCATTCTATCCTTTTTCTTCCACACCCCTATCCTGTTTATCTACAAAATCCCTGGAACACTAAGGTCATTCACATTGTTGTTCAAGAAAACCTGGAGCTGTCTCCCCGCAGTCACTCACACAGCTGGTCAGTCAGCAGGGCTTCATAAAGCTGTGTCCCAACCTTGACCACTTGCATGTGAGCCAAAGCCCAGTCCTCACACCATACCACTATCTCCCATCAGGGACTGCAGCAGCTTTAAAAATATTGTCCATTTATATCTTCATTTTGTATTTGAGAGAGAGAGAGAGAAATGGCTCCCATCTGCTGGTTGACCAAATGCCTGCAGCAGCCAAGGCTAGACCGGGCCAAAGCCAAGAGCTAAGAACTTCATCCAGGTCTCCCATCTGGTCCCAACCGACTTTGACTCGGTTTCCCTTCTTGCTCACTTTGTCTCTCTCAGCTCAGTGTCACATGGCAGCCAGACTGACCTTTCCAAGCCTGTAGTGGACAGCAGTGCAAAGGTGATCCTTCACGAACTCCTGATTTTCAAGAAAACACTGAATAAGTACTGCCGGACGGGGATTTTGCTGACGCAGACACATTGCCACCTCCTTGACCTTGAGATGTGGACGTTCTCCCAGCCAGGTGCACCCTCTGAAAGCAGGGGGCTCTCTCTCTCCAGCCACAGCAGGAGCCAGAGAAGGACTTAAGGTGTCATCGCATGCCGGGAATGTGAGCAGACCCTGGAAGGAGGAGTGGCCCTGAGCTGACGTCAGTCCTGTAACCACAGGGACCTGAGTGCTGTCCATGATACAAATGACCTTAGAGGGCGTCCCATGCTCCAGCTGAGGTTGCCTTAATTACAGCATGAGCAGGGGGACCCGGCCACACCTTGCTGGGTTTCTGATCCAGGGAACTGTGCACTGGGCAGCAGCCTGGTCTCGAGCTGCTGAGTTAGTGGTAACGTCAAATTGCAATAGAAAGCCCAAAACAAATAGGATTGTGCTACACTCGTCCAGAACTACAAGTGTTCACCGATGCTTACAGCCAGTGTGCAGGGAGCACCTTGGCTCGAGGCATCTATTTAAGTTTCTAGACTTTGGAACCTGGAGCGGGTTCAGGTGGTTCTCTTAGAATGGGTCACTTGTGACACCCACGGAAGCTCTCTTGGACGTTTGCAGATTTTGTCTTCCAAAGGACACCCCTGGTTCTGGAGTTCCATGTGGATTTCTCGTTTCCTCACATTAGAAGGGATCAGGGCAGGGGCTGCCATGACCAGAGCTCAGACGGATTCACCTGGACCTCAGGCTGACCCCCGACGCCAGCAGGGAGCCCTGAGGGTGACTGTTCCCTCCCAAAGTCTCGTCTGCCCCACCTGTGCAGTACTCTGACATAGTATGTGTCTAAGACGATACACACCCTGTTTCCTCTCTGCTCCATGTAATTCATAACTAAAATTTGCTTCAAACCCTTACCACTGAGAGAAAGTAGGTTACAGCAACATTAGGATGACCCAGAGCACTTCGTGCTGGAACCTTTACCAGCTGGTGGGTTTCTCAGTTTTGACCACAGAGGGACCTGCATTCAAACCTTCATCCCAGCGGCTGAAGGGGCAGACTGCTCAGCCTCCTGTGGTCTCTCTCTCCTCTCTTCCCGTCTTAAGAATGATGTGCCCACGGAACAGTCATCTTAATGTTTTGTTTTGTTGGATTTCTCTTTTTTATCATTATGCCCCCAGAAATTTCTATAGTTTTAGCATCTCAATAAACTGCCTTTAGGTTGGTGAGAGTTATTTGCTCCAAAATGGAGTCCTTGGGATCAGCTCAGAGCCATGTCCTTTTCACGTGGCCCTGCTAGTCTTGGGCTGCTTCCTGTGTTCTGACACAAGCTGCTCCCACGTCACCGTGTGCTTCCCTGCCCAGACCCCCGATCACCAGTCCCTCTGCAGGGCCCTGATTCCTGTTCAGGTGGAAAAGTGATGGAAACCAGAACACAGAGTGGGAGGACTCATTTTCCTGGACAAGGGATAACATCACTTCTAGGCTTTCCCATGCACAAACCAGGAATTATGTATATTTATGTATATATATG